AGTCGGTTATTGTGAAGCTCAGTGATATTACAAGATCTGGACAACAACAGAAATTACCAGAAACTGACAATAATCTGGTAAATATCTGTCTTATCCCCCATTACCAATGCAGTGACGTTCCCCATCCATGTACATGCAAGGGAAATCAGCATGTGTGGCCTCAACTTTTCAGTACAGGTACGCCTTGAACGTGGCGGACAGTGACTGCGCTCAGACAAAAAAAAAATGTGTTTGATTAATTTCTGTCATATTTCCAAACGTCCAAGCAGTAGAACATACTATTCGCGTGTGGTCATGGTAATACCGTTGTGAACTGCACGTTTGTATCTGACAACAGATCTACGGTTGGTCAACCGTGCGCAACATGCTAACATACGATCCTCTCATTACGCCATGTGTTCGGGGTAATAGTAAACTCATAATGGAGCACAAAGTTTATCAAGACATGATGGTGTTGATGATTATACGATACAAACACTAAAAAGATGCAGCTGGAACTGAGACAAGTGAAAAAATATCTCTGTAAAATGCTGACTTTTACAACAAGGATATTCACCTATTTCACAAGGTTGGTTTGGGAAATGCTTCTTATGAAAAGCAGATCTTTTGAAATGATAGAATCAAGAAAATGCTGTGTTGCAGCAAGCGGAGTGAAAACAGACTGCCTCTTACACAACCAGATAGATTTCTTCCCACGAAAAATATCTCTGCCCCCCCCCCCTCTATATTTCTAAAAATGTACATTTTGAATTTTAATATGCATAACATGATATATACGGTTTTGCAGGTTTGTCACGTGACTCAATCTGACCAATCAGAAGCAATTGTTGACCTTATTTGCATATTCAAATCTATTTTTAATAACAAATGCAGAAATGATCTGTATCATCTGTTTATTTAAGAACAAATTCAAAATATAATTCCTCCCCACTCCCCCGAGGTTGACACAACTATGAGGAATTGACACCTTAGCACAGTTATTCTATGTTACAAGTACTAATTAAATTCATCACCTTAATTATAATTTAAGCCTGATAACAGTCAGTTTTAAAGTGAAGACACAATTAGTCCAGTCACATGAGTAATAAACATAATAACATCATTATCAAT